TGCGGACACCCGTGCTACAGAATCTGGGCAGTCCGAAGAGCATGACACAAGCAGGAACTGCACTGCAACTTTTGCATGGAGCTGCGGCAGCGAGCCGGTAGTTCGGACACGGGAGCTCACTTCAGGCGCGAAGGCTGAGCCCTGGCAGCTACGTGTTGGGTTGCCGAGCAGTCTTCGCTGCAGGTGCTGTCCTGTGCCCTGTGCAGCACGTAAGGAAACTTGGATCAGAGAGACCCACTCCGCTACAAGCCATACAGAATTGCGATGCAACCCGCAGAAGTCTGGGCGTAAGGCTCTTTCTTGGTCACGCCGAGCTGTTGTCATGTTAGCGCAAGTGTGCCCAGAAAGTTCTCTCGTGCCGTGGCTGGGAGTTGACACCTCTTGGGCTCAAGAGATCATCGATGGCCATTCCCAGCTCATCTGTGCATGACTGCTTCAAGTGCCGCAGGAGACACACAGTGTCAGAGTAGTTGCGCAGAGGTGCAGCATCAGCTCTCCACAAAGCGGATAAGCAATTAAGCACATACTTCTGCGCCTTCAGCCCCTCCACACTTTGACACATCCTGGCAAGCAACCAAGCCCACTCTTGCCGTTGACTTCGAGTCAGTGATGTCGCGGTGAAGAGAACATGTGTTATGACTTGCTTGGCCTTCAGCCACTTGTTTGGAACCGGGTCGTCAGTTTGAACATCTCCTCAGCGATCTGACGTTGCACATGTTCCAAGCCAGTTTTGCCGCAGCACTTCAGCAAATAGTGCACGGACATCGAGACCTCCGGATCCTCGTCGCAACAGCGAGTGACAAAGTGCTTCAGGAATCTGTTGGTCATCCCGCGCGAGTCGCGAAAATGCTCTTCGGAGGCTTGCAGCACAAGCCACACACGACCTGGAATCGCTACAGTACTGCCAGACAGATATGCGGATATGCGCGTATTCGGACACAAACGGGCTCCTGGCTTAAAGCTCATGCTGTCGGCTGCGGGGCACAACTTAAAACCACGATAGGCTCATGTGGCTGGGGGTTGCTACTTGAGAGTGGTTATGTCCTTCAATCCACGCAAGGGGAGAAGCCCCGCTCCATACGTTAGCTTGGGCATTCAGCGGGACATCCTCACCAGGCAGGTTTCGCTGTTTCTTTGGTGATTCTGCATTGCAGAAACACGCTTGCCCCCTGTCTCTGGAGCATCTTATGCCAAGGAACCATGTGTCTAAAGCTGCCGAGCGTCAAAGTTGAGACTTCTGCGGTGCCAGATTGTCCCCGAACTCTGTTCTGAGCAAGCGCTTGCCGCAGTCCAGCGACGTTTCGCCAGAACCACGCCCAGTCGCGCGGAGATTACACAAGAAGTTACGGCAGGAGATCATGGCAGAGCCTGCAAACTCCGAAGGCTCGAAGCCAGCTGCTTTCTCCACGTGAAGCGAAACTGCCTGAACAAACACAGGGATAAAAGTCAAAGTAGCCCTTCCACTGAATCCGCTCGGCAAGTGTGTCACCACCATGCTGGGGCATGTATCTTGGGGCTGCGGCTTCCATCACAGCATATACCCCCTCATCCATTTCAATATCATGCGCGTGCTCCATTTCTCTCACCTCATCCACCTAGCCCCGTGTTTCGCTTATCCTTTCCAAGGTCCTCCCCATCGGCTTCTCTTTCGGTTTCCCTCCGTTTGACTAGTGTTTTCCTTTCCTGTCCCTCTCACTATCCCCGGCCCTTCATTTACTTCATTCATCTAATCATATTGCCCCTCCTGCAGTCTGGGGATATGTTGCTTCCCGGGATTTCGAACAATTTCCTGGTTCTAACAAACAGGTTGGTGCTTGGGATGACCTGCCTACTACAGAAGCCTTGTTTAGCAGTCAGGTCAATTACGTGGTAACGTGATGATTGAACTTCCAAGCCAATACCATCTCTGTCACTTAACACATCCGTTTGGCAACATCATCAGTCACAAGCGAAGATGTTAAACAAAGTTGGCGTTTGGCGTGCCACGTGGTAAGCGCACAAGGTGTACGAGCAAACCAGTCGGTGACAAAGCACACACTCTTACGTATGAAGATTTCTGGAACATACTTTTGGGTCCTCACAGCTGACAAACTTATTCTTTGGGCTCGCTAAAGAGACATACTTTTCAAGGTTGAGACCAAAAACTTGGATCTTGGGCGACTAGGGGGAGATGGCGTTCCCCGACCTACCGCCCACCGTCGCACTTTCGGTGACAAGAGTTTGCAGTGACTCTCACTTCCAAACGTACTGCCTCATCGAAGGACTCAGCCGAGCTCGCCGCACGCATGTGCACTAGATCTTGCACCTTGTCAAGGTGCCACGCAGACCGGTCTCAAAGCTGTTGCAGCAAACAGTAACAATTGAGTACTCACTTGTAACATAGCAAGGCTCCTCAAGGAACTCCAGCAAGGGCCTGGGCAGGGGCAAGTTGAGGCAAGCTCCAGACACCATGTGAGAGCCGAGGAGCTGTGTGAGAACATCGTAAGCTTCCGTATACGTCGCATCCGTATGCACGTGCTCCTTGGCAGTGCACTGACTCCGGCAGTTTCGCAGCGAGCGTAACAAGCATGCTGACGCCCGCATCTTCTGTCGAGCTGCTGTGCATGTCCAAGGCAGCATGCCCGCCATGGACTCGAAAAAGAAGACCGAGCCAGAAAAGACGGCCTGCACAAGGCCCAAGCATCTTTGCAGTCCAGTTTCGGTTACTATGGACGTTTGCCTGCAGTGGCCACATTTGCTCGCTCTGCACAGCGCCTAAGATACAGCATGATAAGACATGATACACTGTCTGGCCTCTGGCCAACTAGGCCCACGAAAGGCGGAAAGCTCGTGTAACTTCTGCAGGCTTCTTCGCCAAGCTGCCATCTGAGCACTCTTCCGGCTGACCTGCGAGTCCAGGCCTTAGTGCAACGACCGCTTCATCTCTGCTGCAAGGCTTCTAAGCCAAGACCCTGGCGATTTACCATCGGTCTCCAAGTCATCCTGCGCCAGTCCGTGCAGGAGTGCAGCATGGCATTCTCAAGATTTGGGCTCTGGCTGCTTTGATGCGCTTCTGCAGTGCAGCATATCTCGTGTTGAGCCTGGGGGTGACGATGCTTTGGTCGTCTCACGCCCGACTCAGCAACTGGCGCCTATATCCCAGACTCTCCAGCTCCCTCTGCAAGAAATCCTGGGACCAACGGACCAACAGCTCATTCGGACCCAACAGTCTTGCTTGAACGGCATCTGTTCAGCCTTGAACAGCTCGATCTTCGTGCGTGAACATAAGTTCAGAATTTCGACCTCCGCTGTTTCTGCGGCCTCGGTCCGGTGCTGAACTTGGATTTCAAACCACGCAAGCCATGGTGACGTCTGACTCAACGCGCCGGCACGGGAACCAGCACTGCCATTCAAGAGGTTCTGCGCCAAACCAGATCGGATTGCAGCGAGAATCCCTGCTAGGAAGGCCGGTTTAGCGTTTAGGGACCACACGTTGCACTTCCCTGCAGCAGGTGAGTTGTCGTGTATGTTTGTTGGTGCCTACGGTTGTTGTGGACCTGTGCGCCTGGGATCAGCTGGGAATGGATGTAGTTCTTTTGGAACAGTTGAACAATGTCTCAGCCCCCGTCTGATGGTTTGAAATGCCATGTGGCAACATGGATTCTGGAGCCGGTTCACCTGTCTCATTCAGCGCATGTCTGGGGGGCATACCGGTCCATGACGGGCAGTGCAGCTGCACTGCATCCCTGTGGGTGCAAGCAGAATCAACCAGTTCGGCTGCACGACAGCGCACAAGATGTCGCCAAGGAAGTGGCTGCAAACTCTCAGGCTTCTTCGCCAAGCTGCCATCTGAGCACTCTTCCGGCTAACCTGCGAGTTGCACATCTGGAGTTCCAGGCCTTAGTGCAACGACCGCTTCATCTCTGCTGTAAGGCTTCTAAGCCAAGACCCTGGCGATTTACCATCGGTCTCCAAGTCATCCTGCGCCAGTCCGTGCAGGAGTGCAGCATGGCATTCTCAAGATTTGGGCTCTGGCTGCTTTGATGCGCTTCTGCAGTGCAGCATATCTCGTGTTGAGCCTGGGGGTGACGATGCTTTGGTCGTCTCACGCCCGACTCAGCAACTGGCCCTGGCGCCTCAACCCCAGACTCTCCAGCTCCCTCTGCAAGAAATCCTGGGACCAACAGTCTGCCGGTGGCCATCATTGCGAGCACCGTACATGTACTTTGGTGGAGCCCCAGCCGTCACCTCGAATTCGCCGCTGGTGTCGCCAAGGCTTTGCGTGGCGAGACTGGCGGTTGGGCCACGAGCCTTGCGCACGTACGGCCCGTACGGCTTTCCCGACTTTGATTTGGGAATGGCTGATTCTGCTATACGAGCGAGACACCATCGGAACACGTTTTAGGGCATGTTGGGATGAGGAGTAACATGCATCCCGTGGCGCAAGACTGAAGAGGCTCAGCCAAAATGATTTGTTCAAGTTCAGGTGAAGACGACTCATCGCAGCAAGTTCCAAGCGCCAGGCGGAAGAAGTGTCAGCACCACCTATTCAGAGCCATCAGAACCATCAGAAGACCGTATAAAGGGTGCCTCGCAAGCTTGCCTTGATCGGGGCCGACAGCCTCAGCCTGAGTTTCGGCCGCCACTGCGCTGCCCATGTCGCTCCAGAGTGCTGCGCACAACCCCCCGCGTTTTTTAAAGAAACGACTCGGCGAGTTCTCGAATGTCTGTCCACTTGGTCGCTGCGGAGGCGGCGGGGGTTTCAGCATTGCCAGCGGAGCCCAAAGGCAGCGGCATGACAGTTGAACATCACCATGCTTCCTGGGCCGTGCGTGTTGACCAGTCGCCGTCTTGGAAACTATGTGCCAGTCACGTGAGCCGGCCTGCGCTTCCGAATCCTGGGACACTTCCCGTTCCGTCTTCATACACTCGGAGAACAGGCCGTAGGAATGGCAGGCAATCGCTGTTAAGCAATTCCGTGGAACCGCGGTAGTTCTGAACTGAACATCGTGGAACGATCCCAACTTGGAGTGTGGCCAGCCGCATACCCGACCAGTGCTCCCTCGCCCTCGCCCTGGTTTGACCCCCCTGAACACTTCCAGGCCCTGCTTGCCGAGATGGACACTCCGGAGTCCCGTGCCCACACCGGATAGGAGTCGATGTGAGAGTTGCCCCCCCCATTCCAATGGATTGTCATCTCAAACCTCAAGCCCAACTCCGCTTCTGCGTGCCAATGCCCTTGGTGCCGTTGCAGGCAGCCTTCATGGTACAGAGACTGAGGCGAGGTGCCGTTGGTGCTGTCGGAGCGGAGCAGAGACGCCAAGGACCGCCTGGGTCCCGGGTCCCCCTCTGTGGACTCTTGGACTCTGCTCGGGTGCCTTTTCTTGTCTGCGCAAGCGATCAGGTCAGGAGCGTCTGCGTTTCACGCAGAAGAGCTCCCCTTGTCGACTCTTCAGCCTTGGGCAAGGCTGACTCTAAAACGGCACTCACCCTCGCATGGCATACCCCCTTTTTAACGGGCTTTGCGGTGAAAAGAGCCGAGGAAATATGCAGGGTCAGGGCCCGGCAGGGGGCCCATGAAGCCGAACAAAGCGTGCTTCTTCGGTCACTGAAACAGTTTGCCTTCCTTTCTTGTCTTGTCCTTCTCCTGTTTCTTGTGGGGCAGTTCAAGGCGATGGCTCGGCTCAAGGGCCCCTCTGATGGTTGCGGGCCCGGGCCCCCGCTCTCAGGAAAGCAAGCCGTGCGTCTTGCGGGCTCGCATGTCTCCGTCCTTGGAGCAGAGTTGATTCGCGGATTCCCGCGGACTCGGACGGAGCTTAGGCACGGTCCTCTGGGCAAGTGGTCACCGAGTCGATCGTGCTGCCCTCGAAGCGGCTCGCGGCTCGTCGCGCGCACTTGCTAGGAATGGGCGCGGATCTTCTCTTCCGCAGTTCCGCCCCCGCCTCGAAGTGCAGGCCGCAGATCTGCCTCCCGCGCGGCACCGTGAAGCGCCGGGACCCGAAGGCCTAGGCCGCATGCGCAGAAGCAGATCGGGAGCACGTCTGAGAGTCTGCGTCTGCGGCCTCCATTCCCTTCAGGCTGAAGATACTTCCGAGTGAAGTGTAGAAGGCAATGGAAGTGCCCAGGAAGGCGTCCCGAGCCAACTGGCAGTCAAAGCAACACACCAAAAACACACCAAAAACTCTTGATCGTAACATCACTGCTCCGTCTGCCTGCTCCACAGCAGTTATGTGCTCGCCTGGCCCGAGCACCCATGGCCCATGTTCGGCACCTGTCAACACCGGCTCATGACTACTGCAGCAGACTCGCTCTTTCGCTCCTCCTCCTGAGCTGCCATACTCGCAGTAGCTTCCATCTCGGAACCGAAACCAAACCTGAAACAGGCCACTGCCACAGGCCCATGGCACAACACACATGCACACACACACACACACCCATGTCCTCCCATGTCCGATGCTCATGCCTTGTCGACAGCATGTCCCACACGACCACCCAAAGATGCCACGGCCGCTGGCTCCTCACCGCTGGACTCAGCGGAGGCTCTGAAAGCCCTCGGTGCGCACCGAGCGGAGCTCTCGGTACGGGCTCTAGTGAACGAGACCTCGCCTGCGGATCTGCGAAAGCTATTGCATAACCAGAAAGTCTGAGAAGCAATCTTCAAGCGTGTCACGTCTCCTCGGCCGAGATTTTTCGAAGATGGATACCCATGAGCCGATGTCCTTGCATGGATTGCTAGATGTCCCACAAACATCCGTAACTCGGACTGGAGTCCTTGAAATTGAAGGCCGACGATTTGGCTTCCAGAGGGAGCCAAAAAGCACCGACGCTTTCGCGCTTGAGAGCCCTGCATGCACGAAGAATGCGAAGAAGGCGATAACATGAGGGACAGCGGACATCAGACGCCACCTGCAGTTCCAGCACGTCCCCACGAGATGTGTAAAAGATAATGGCCAAGCCCAAGAAGTCATGCCTCTCCTTGCCAAGCGACCCGAACAGAGACTCGAAGAGAGATTTGACCACACAAACACAAGACGGTCGTCTCCTCCTGTAGCACGGAGACGATCCTCTCGTCTGGCCTGCTTGGGTAAACCACACAGGACTGCAGAGAAAGGGCGCTAGCCGGGACAAGTGCACGAGGCCTTAACTTCCATCGATGCTCAACGTCACCCCCCACACCTCTAGGCGACCGGTCATGGGCTATTCGGGCAGAACCGCATAGCTTGGTGATCAGACGAGCAGCTCCCAAAAAAAACCGCGCTGCCATTGACCAGCTTTATGTGGATGTTGTCAACAGCATAACCTGTACCTCGAAGCAAAGCTCGCGCTGCTCGAAGCCAACTACAAAAAAAGCCCAACAGTTGGAAACCCAATAGCCTCTATCCTTAAGAGTACTGTATAGGGAATCCCAGCACTGTTTGTCCTTAGTCCGGTTTCCAACTTTTTGGGGTTTCCTATAAACGAACCTCACAACAGTGGCACACCTGAAGACATGGGACAAAATGCGACTTCAGATCACAAGAAGAACAAGAAGAGCACAACCACGACGACGACGACCGATGACCACCAGCACCAACAACAACGCCACCACCACCACCACCATCAGTGGTAACGTTGCGGCCGCTGTGACAGCAGGATTTGCACGTTGCTTTGGTTAGCAGCATCGGCAACGACGACGGCGACGACGACCACCTCCACAGCAGCAACAGCAGCACCAGCACCAGCACCGACAACCACAGCGGCCGCCAACAACAACAGCAACAGCAACAGCGACAACCGAAGACAATCAACCACATCGACAGCACCGCACATCAACACCAAGCAGAAGACTAGTCGTATCAAGGGCAACGACAGTAGAAGCAACAAAAGCAACGGTGGCAGCTAGAGCAGCTTCCGCAAAGGCGGTCTCGTTTGCCTGAACACCCTCCGACACCGGCCATGCATCCTGGCTGCAGCCGATGATTTCTTGAATTACGCCTTGAGCAGCTCCATCTTTGGGAGACAGCCCTTCGGGGATGGTCACCTTTCGGAACGTGCAAGAACTTGTACCATCATCGCCGGCACCTGCCTGGTCAGTGTCGATCTGGGCAGCACCGCTGCAAAACCAAGCATGGTGTAGGCAGTCCACATGGCTGAACCTGCCCCGACGGCCAGGTAAGACCATGCGAGCACTGACGGCAGAAAGTCTCGCACAGCCTGGCCTCGAAGAAACATTGATGCAAAGCAGCCCCTCGATCAGCGACCGAGCCTGACGCAACAACCCTCTGCCAGCTTTCACATAGGTGACGATGGTGAAGCACGCCGACCAAAAGGTCTCGCAAATCCGCGCATTGGCTCTACAGTCCAAGAGACTAGCTCTGGACCATCGGGGGTCATGACAATTCGTGACTGTTGCTCTTCGTCGCTGCATCTCCACGTGAAAACTGCATTAAAGACATGCCCGAATGTCCAAGACCTGGACTTCAGGCAGGATGGTTCGGAACCAGAAAGCAAAAAGCATTTTGTAAGGAGGAAGGAAGTGCTTTCGGGAGGACATCCAAGCGGAAGAGAACAAGCAGAAGTAAATCAAGAAGCGGAACGCGCGCACGACTTGATCGGTCGACCTGCGGTCCCAAAACTGCCTTCCCAGTGAGCATCCCTGTGCCTCCTTTGATGCATGTTGCCACGATCGGCCAGCCTTTACAGAGGAAACGACCTGCAGGCTGAAAAGAAACACTCGAAGCTTCACCGTTAGACACTTGCTGCAG